GCGAATCACCGGAGGTGATTCACCGGCCCATCGCGGGTCAATCGCCGGCTTTCGTCGGGGAAAGCCTCGTTTCTCAGACCGACAATCTTATCTATCCTTCACCGGTATCCCGTCACGTGCGCGTCGCGCGGAGTTTACGTAGAGCCGTGACGATCCAGCGACGCGCGTGCGGTGATTCGTCGCCGAGGTCTACCATTTTTCTCCGATACCGCGGCGAGCGACGCGATAGGAAATTTCTTTCGTAAGATACGCCCTTGCGTGATCGCTCGATTAGTACTCGCGGGTCGACGTCCAGCGGCGGCTCGAGGGTGTGGTCCACATGGTGGATTTCACCATCTGTACGGTAGCGACTGGCCGAAAACCGGTAGCGGTGGTAGGGCGGTGCACAGTAGCAACTCTTTGGTTGGCTACCGCTCCTTTCTTTATTCCTCTATACACGCGAGAACGAGTGCACGCACATCGGCTCGCTCCTCGGTTGGCCGTTCTCCGTTCTTCTTCGATTGGCTGCCGGGGCTTCTTGTTCCACGCACTCCCGCCCTGCCGGTGCGTAAAAGCGACCGCCGGGTGGCGAGGAACAAAAGCGCGCGCGAATGCACTTGCTTACGCGCGCGTGTCCAATTTCTTTTGCCGATTCGCGCGCCCGTCGCGCCGAGGTGGCTCGAATCGCGAATAAAAGCACCTCGTCGAATGCCTTGTCTGAGAGACGCTGAAAAATTCAGTTCGCTCGGATCTGACGAGGCAGAGCGAAACGCGCTTCGGTTGAGGAAAACGGGAGCAAATTTGCTTCGGGAGAATCAGAAATTTGCTTTCCTTCAACCAACCACGCGTTCGGTCGGCCATTCATTGTCAGATGGATCCAACCGAACTCATTTTTCATCGCGGGCCCGGTTCAAGAGACGCAGAGATCCGTCAGTTTCCCACGGTTTCCCAAACACTTCCTCGAGCGTGAAACGTTCTAATAACCCCCAAACGACGATATATCGTTAACTGTTGCGCGCGATATTTGCGATATTAATGTCTCACTATTAACCATAATTAATTAACTTCGCACCCGCTCCTCGTTTTGCGCGTTCGACTCGGCGCGAGACACCACCAAGCGTCTCCCGACGTTTTACTCGCCTATGTAGCCGGACGATTTATTGTTCTGATTTATTATTCTCGACGCGCGAGAGAGACGAGCGGTTCATCGACAATGTAATTTTCTCGGGTGACTCGCGTCCAACTTGTTGCGATTTATCCGTCTCGCGCGGGCGAATTAATATTCATAAGTAACTCGCGCGGACGCGAAGGGAAAGGTATCGCATGAAATTCGCTTTAATTGCTCATCCGATCGGGTATTCCGTTCACGGGAGTCACGGGAGGAAGCCCCACCGCTTGATTATTCCACGCGATGAGGTCGCACGGTGCAACAAAATTCACTTTCGCATAGTTCCGCGCATACCAAGCCGCGCTCTGCTCTCCGCCTATTGGCAAATCTCCCTCTAGTATGGCGCATTCATAAACGCGAGCGTCTACATATATATCGCATTATCATACATTATCATAACATTATCATACATTAAACGAAAGCATTCGATCACGCGAACTCGGTGAGCAAACATGGTAGCCGGCACGATGTTCGCCTTCCTGTGGTACACGCGACGCGCACCAACATCGTATTCGGGACGTAGTTGCATAAAAGTCACAAATATTACCTCGGGAGCAGGTCTCTCTCTGGTCCGAGAAAGAACAAGCGCGCGCGCGCGCGCGAGAGAGAGAGAGAAAGAAGGCATATCGGTCGCCTCTGTTATTCCCGACTGTTTCGACTCGCGAATTCGCCAGACTCGGTTATCGATACAGAATAACGGCCATTTATCATCGCCCTCAAGATTATCCGCGTTCTCTCTTCTCATCACGTCGCGTGCGCGCCCATATATAATATAAAGGCTGAGGGTTTACACGCGGCTAATGTCGTTTTTCTCAGCGGCCGGCTCATTAACGCGCGACTCATTAACTGCGCTTCGCGCAAAGTGAGAAGAACCTGTTCCCTCCGCGTGTTTCCGCCTCGAGTAATACGAGGCGTATCGCGACCTCGTAACTCTTCGGCGAGACTGCCACGTAGTGGCAGCCGACGTATCGTACGTTTCCACCGGCGGCGTATCGGCGTCCCGCGACGGGGAGGAGAACGGGCGGTTCGCGATCTGACAGCGAGACGACCGAGGAAGGATTCCAGACGAGGTGGAATTTATGGAAAAAAACTGATCGCGTCAGAGAATCCATCTTCAGAAAAGAAAGAGAGAGAGAGAGAATACTGGGATTCTGTGACTAAATTAGTTTCATATTGTCATTGTATAAAGAGTTTTTTTCCCGTAGATGCAAAAAAAGAGATTATTAATTACAATGAAAAATGAGTTTGGTCGAATCTACCTGACGATGGACAGCCGGACGCTCGAAGGAAATGTCTAGTTCTCATCTGCAGTTTGACCGGAAACTTCCGTTTCCTTCAGCCAACACGCGCTCGGCCGTTCACTGCCAAGCAGATCCAACCACATTCATATCTCAGTGCACTTATTACTAAGTGATCGGTTCTCAAGATGATCGCCATCACTGTCGCATAAAATAGCGACGGAAAAGCCGCCGACCGTTGTCCTCGTCGAGCGTTTGTCCATCGTCGCGTCTTGTTTCCGCGCGTATCGGTAACGACGGAATCTTTCGTCAAAGTTGTGGACGGAACGGTCGGGCGGACGTTTCTCCTTCGGCGGTCTTTTTATGGAACGGCGGAGTCGCACGTGTAATGCGCAGTTCCGATTAGGCTCCGCCGCCCGTTAGCCACGCTAACCAACCGGGCTACGCCCAGGCACGCTTATTACTCATTCGGACACGCCGCTTTATTCGAGCGTGCGCCGTGCGCTTTAATACCGCAGTGCCGGTAGCGACTGGTCCAGGCTTCCGTGCGCGATGGCTGCGCGCGCCCCTGCGAGCGATCGGGACCCGCGGGCCACACTTTTTTCCCCCGGCGCATCAGTCCCAATTCGAACCGCACCATTAGGCCCCGCCGTTTCGATTACGCAGATCCCCCCCAACCTCCCATATTCGCCGGTTCCGAGAGTGATACTCGCGCGAGCTTCGCCGATTCCTTCCATTTTTAATTCCGTCGCGAATGGAACGAGATTCGGCCGATTTTTTGTATTCAGTACGCAGAAAGGTAGGAAAAACGATCAGTGATGTTCGAATCGTGAAATTTTCGCGCACATGCGTAGGTGACTTTCGTCGGGTCTGCTCTCGTCGGAATTACTCCAAGTTGGGTCCTTGAAAAGTTTCACAGCTTTCCGATGAACATTAATTAGTAGTAACGTTATATATCGATCTCTCGCTCGACAATGCAAGTGCAATATAACATGCGTTGTGTATAACAGTTGCATTGTTGAGTGGGAAATGATAACATTGTCGTGATGTTACTGGTTATTTAGTGTTTACTGGATTTTAAAGCTCTCCCGGCGAGTTTCTCGCACGGAACGCCGTCTTGGATAGATTCGATTCACATGTTAAAAGTGTGTAAAGTCGGAAGCGTAAAGGTGAATCGACGCTTCGCCATTTCCGCGTTTCCTCTCTCGAAAAATATTCCCGAGTGATTTGCGCGGCGCCGGCGAGTGTGAAAATTACGGAATCGTGATTCGCACGTTTAGCGCTAATAACGGCCACCTCTACCCTCTCGTTCATCACGAAAATGCGTATCTCACGCGAATGAAACTGAAAAAGGGACATTTGCGCTTCGAGTTGAATGCGCCCCCGAGCGCTTACGCATCGGCGTTAACGATGAGAACCTCGTGCGAGTTTTCGCAGAAGCGGCCGTAGAAGATCGCGAGTAAAAAGATCGCGAGTAAAAGGATCGTTTTATCTGCGAATTTCCAAGTTTACGCGCGCGAGGGAACGCGTATCTATGAGATAAATTTTACGGGGATGGAGCCTCCTTGAAATCCGTGCGTTTACGGCCCCGCTCATTGGATTAAGAATCACACATCGACCTTTGACTCGCCGAGTCCCCGCCTATAGAATAACGTTGCGGAGTCAAAGCGGAGAAGGCGGCTGTAAAATCGACCGCGAAATGGAGTTGCGAAAAGCGAAACTCGCCTGGCATTTATACGAAAGAGTACGCGCGTTCTCTCACACGTAGCAACAAGCTGGAATAATAATGCATCGATCAGTTTTCGCACCGAAAGGTTATCATATTTCGTATCGGTAGGTGCCATCGGCTGTGCGCGCCGTCCTCGCCGAATCGATCGGAGGACGAGCTCGTCGAACGTCCCTTTGCACGAGAGCACTTGGTCGTTCTAGCCGCGATCCCAATAAAATATCGGCCGAATAATTCGACCCGGCCGACGATTCCGCGAGCGTCCGCGTCCCGCCACCTACGCGTCGCGCGTTCATAAGGTATGCAAGATACTTCAGAAGTTGCCTCAGCGTGTTACTAACCCGTCGCTCGTAGATCGGCGTCTCGCGTAAATATCGTCGGATACGGGCCGTCCCTCGCGAATATACTCGCGAGCGAACGAGCGACTACGGTGATTCTCCCTCGAGCGCGCGAATCATCGATTCTCTGTGCTCTTTGCAGGCAGCGATACGAGGATCCTCTCGCGACGTGGTACAAGCAGTGATCTCACTCCCAGGAGTCAGCCGTGCCCGAGAGACTAGCTTTGCGCGGGAGGAGAAGAGCGAGTCGAGGAACGACAGATAAAGAGAGAGAGAGAGAGAAAGAGAGAGAGCGTACGAAAGTCAGCGGACGCGACAGAGATAGAGAGAGAGTGCACGACAGAGAGCACGAAAGAGAGAGAGAGAGAGAGAGATAAAGAAAGAGAGAGAGAAAGAGCGAGAGTGACGAGTGTACCGAGAAAGGAGACAGAGGGAGACAGACGAAGTGGTGGGAGTGACTCCGGGCGTTAGCGAGAGAGCGAGAGAGGCGGGTAGAGGGAAAGGAGAGACAGAGACTCGACCAAGAGAAGGAGCGGTGGGAATTTATAAGGATGTTCGCGATAATGCCGATGGAGACAGAGGGGCACGGCAGGGAGTTCGGCCGGCGGCAGAAGATGCGCGCCAAGTGCACGGTAGAGTTCGTCTGCAAGTACTGCCAGCGGCGCTTCACGAAGCCCTACAACCTCATGATCCACGAGCGCAGCCATAAGGACGACGTGACCTTCACCTGCGAGGTCTGCGGAAAGTCCTTCAAGCGGCAGGACAACCTCAAGCAGCACAGGTAACGTCCAACCCGTCGCGCGTTTCTTCGTTCTCCCTTTGTTTTATCGCGATGTCGCGCGTTTGTTCTTTTTTTTTTTCCTCTTTTTTTCTCTCGCGTACATATTTTTTTTCCTCCTCGAGAAACTTTTTCTTCGGTACCGCGCTCGCAAGAGACACGTACGCGAACTGACGCGTGATCAATCGCCGCGACCTCCGAGTGCTCTTTAGGAGGTCCTCTCGCGAGGGAGCCGCGTTCTCGAGCATGGCGTCGCGCGGACGACGGAGAGAGGAGCTCGCGCGACTCTCTCGCCCCCGAGACGTTGTAAATATCCGTTCGTCGTTCCCTGCGCGGAATATCGCGGCGAGCGATCGCGCGAATCAGACCGTCAGTGCGTGACTCTCGCATGTCGAGCGACGTAGAAACGCCCCGGGGAGAGACGTTTTCGCGGTGGTTCCTCGGCGCGTGCGAGACACCTCCTCACGACGGTGAACGACGTTCCCGGACGAGTCGATAATCGAGCTGAAATCAACTGTCGTCGGTCGTTGCGTCACTATCGCGGCGATTTTCCTGTTGCAGTTATTACAACGCGACGAGAGAATCGTGTATCGCGCCTGTATCGATCCGCAATCGTTACTCCGCGCAGCGACTCGTAATCGGGATCAAACGGGAAACTGAATGGTGCTTTTACGCGTCGTTCCACGTTCAACAACGCGACGGGGAGATGCGATTCGTAACGTCGGACGCTAACTTTGTAAGCGACGGAGAGCGAGATGGACGCTTCGGAAACCGGTCGGGTCACCGGTCCGACCTTTGGCAAAGTCGAAGAAAAAAGAAACGATCGGAGCCGAAGGCAGTACTTCATTTTGCGACGCGCCTCTCGCGGATTGACACTGCTCGCGACGGACGCGGCGACGGTCCTTCGGTTCGGGCGGACGATCGACTCTGCGAAATGATAAAAGACACTGTGCGCGGAATCGACATCACGCGGAAACGTCTCTCCTCTCAGTGTAACCGTTAATCGACGACGCTCGCGCAAAGCGTTCCATGCGTAGGAGAGTGCTCCGCCGTTTCTAAAGCCGGTAGAACCGGCGGTGTGTCAACGGGCAAAGCGGAACACCATCTCGCGGGCCTGGTGAAAATCCGTCGGAGGTGCACGCGATCGAGAGATCGCGCATGAATAATCGTTGCGTGTGTGAAACTGATTAAAGTGCACGAGAAAGTGACGACGACGATGATGTCATCGTGTTGCAGTAGAGAAGGATTGCGTCACTGCCGTCGTGTGTCAAAATCGATCGGTGATTGATAATGTGTCTTAAGAAAAGGCGGTCGTTAAATATTTAATCAGCCTGTCTCATTACCTTTCTCTTTTTTTTCCGAATTAATGAATTTTCACGCGTATCTCCGCTCCGCGTCATTGAAATTTCCACAAGACGACTTGCCGCGAGGAGTGGATCGGGCAGTGCTGAGAATGTGCTCAATAATGATATCGCAATTTGTCAGAGCTATATATCGCGAGACCGGTATCGGCAACTTTGAATTCCGGGCGAGAATGTAGATCAGCGAGTCGAGCGGGGAATTAAGACACGCGAACTATCGCTAAAGCGGTCACGGCGTGCTGGCCTCGAGAAGGTCAAAACCATCGGTTCGGCCGAAGGAGGCCGCTACCGCGTTGACCTTTCGCATCAATAGCCTTGTAATGTTGCAACGTGTCACCTTCACCCGCCTCTCGGCGGCGGGATAGAATCGGGGAGAGAGAAGAGATCCGCGAAGATCCGCGAACTTTGCACTCCTTCTCTCGCCTACGGGCGCGAGTCGGCGAGAGAGCCCCGTGGGCCCGATCGACCTGACCCATAAATCAGTCTGAAATAATGCTGCCCCCGCATGGAACGTGTGCGCGAGCGCGTTTGAACGAGCGAGCGATAAAATAAATCTTCAATACTGGTGGATACTAATGGATACCTTGTATGTAACGGCGGTGGTCTTGTTTTCTGTTCTGTTGTAGATGTGGGTGGCGGTGAGCGGGAGCTCTGAATCTCCTGCACCCTGACACACACACACAAAATGCACACATCAACAACAGCTACAACAACTACTACAACAGCAACAACAAAATTACAACGACAATCACAACAACAATTATTACGCCTACTACTATTACCACTACTACAAAGTATAACTCATTTCGATCACCCGCACTTTTCCCGGTCGTGACGACCAACAACTATGTACCGCCACCACAAGATACCCCGGCATGCGTATATTTCTTCTTCGTCTTCTACTTGCACTCTACTACCACTTCTTCACACTCTTCTCTGTCTACCACTTCCGCTACTTCGTCTTCTCATTGTGTCTTACCGCCCTCACTACGACTACTTCGTCGTCGGCTATTTCTGGTACTAACACACGGCGCGCACGGGTCCCACGCTCTAACGAGGCGGCGGGTATGATTGATAGATAGGAGGAGAGAGAATTTTTTTGGAGAGGAGGGGAGGAAGCGAGGGCTTTCCCTGGAAGTGTACTTTCCTCATCTTCCGATTTCGACCATCTCTGTTCCAGGAGCATACACTCTGTTCCCTACAAGGGCTCCAACGGCTACTCAAATGGCTATTCGAATGGCTACTCTAGGTATTAGAAGCCATCCGGCCAACTATCCTAAACTCCCGTAGGCACGCGTTTCTCTTTCTCTATCGAGTATACTAACCCGTATTGCACCGACCACAGTTCTCCTCGACATCCCTCCTCCGTCTCGACGACGGCTCGAATTCGCGCGGTGGAAGTCCTGCCTGTGTCAGTCGCGAAGCTCCATCGAGCGGTCATTATTATTATTATTATTATTATTATTATCATTATTATTTCCAATTTTTTCGGCCACCACCTCGCCTACCACCTCACACTCGATTCGTCCGTCCCGCTTCTTTGGTATTTTTTTTTCGCTTCTGTCGTCCTCCCGCATCCATCCCGAGCCTACACCCAGCCACATCAGAGGAGATCCACCACCACGAAGCGCCGAGCTGCAGAGAGAGCTGGAAACGATGACAGCTATCTCCGGGATACGGCGGCGGGAGTTCGCGGATTTCGCGCGATCCGCCTGGATTTTCGCGGACGAGCGCGCGACGCAACCCGTCCGTCATTCTCGTATCGTTTCCACGAAACACCCTCAGACGACGCTACGACCGATCGAGTCTCGTCCTTTGCGCACGTGGAGTTCGCCCATGCCAGCGGAATCGGCCGACTTCCCGAGAAGGAGACTCGAAAGGGACAGAGAAGAGGAGGAACGGAGCGTGCGTGCGCGCGGCGGAGGTCCACTTTCCTCCGCGTTTTCATTACGGAAGCTATCTCGCGCGCTCGGCGTTGTTCCTCGCAGGCTCCTCGGGCTAACGTCCTAAATTGGACTACGTAATAACCTACTAGCTTCCACGGGGAACGCCGGCCGGTGGATGCGCTGTTCTCCGCGTGCTACCGGTGGACCACGCCCAGGCCCGGAGCGACGTCTTCCTGACCTACCACCTGGCAATCAGCCGCGCGCGGCTACCCGGCTTCCCCTTCAGAAAATCCATATAATTTCGCGGTGGTGCCGCGCGCTTTCGGGGATCACGTCGCCGGCGAGTCCCCTCGCGACAGGGAGAGAATGAGAGAGGGAGGGAGGGAGAGACTGTCGCGAAGACACAACCGGACAACCTTGAGCCACGTGGTACAAGGTGGGCCCGCGGTGGTATCGCTGACGCAAATACCAGTCAGCTGAGATCGGTTTCCAGTGGGTGAACCCTCGGCGAAGTGTCTCTTCGATTCCGGCCGAGACGCGACCCGGTGATGTGGAATAAAGATCGACCGTTATTCCCCGAGCGTCGGTCGTGTGTCTCTCCCTCCCTTCCTCTCCTTCTCTCTCTCTCTCTCTTTCTTTATCTCTATCTCTTTCTCTCGTTGTTCTCTCCCTCTGGATCCGTTTTTTCATTCTCTTTAATGTTATTCCGCCATATCCTTTCGTTTGTGGCGGAGAGAACGCGCGAACGGCGGGCGAGTGCTAACGTATCGCGTCGGGAAAATAAACGAAAAGAGAGAGAAAAGAACGCGGAGGATGAAAATCGCGCGGTGGAGCAATCGGCGCTACGCGGCGAACCGATCGAATGTATTCGCACGTCGAAATCGCTCGGCGATAGCGTGACGCGCGTTGCAAGCGTGAAGTAATAGAGTGTGGGTGGTAGTAGCGTGGTGCCGATTCTCTCTTGCTTTTCGAGCGAGACGCTAAACCGCGAATACCGAAGTGGGAAAGCGCGTGGCGGCGCAATCGTAGCGCTCGAATGCGTCGAGTTCATATAAACGGCGGGGAGAGAGAGAGAGAGATACCTTCGGTTCTTGCGCAGAGGAGAAGATAGAAATATGAGATACTCGTAAAACGTGTTCTCGAGGCATAAAATTAAGCGTTTGTGTAACTTTGCGGATTACGTCGATCGCGTTAACGTCTTGCGTCTCGCCGATACGGACTGCAACAGCATCGCGATCGCGCGAATTTGTATATGCTTTCGCACTTGGAATCTTTTTTTTTTTACAATTTCTCTGCTTCATGCGTCATATTTCTGAGTTCTCCCTCTCTAATGTCTCTACGTCACACATACACACATACACACACATGTGGTGCCTGCATGTCGGATACAACGCGCGAAGAGTATACAGTCGGTCCCCCTTATGTGTTCCAGAGAATAATTAACGCCTCACTTCCGTTCAAATAATTCTTCGACTCGGAAACTCGATCCAGCTGCATCACGATATGTTTGTGAAGCAAATGTATTTCCTCGTGTAGTAAATTTGATATATTTTTGCGGCCGAACTGTGTGTATATTTAAGGCGCGAGAGAAAGCGTCCCGAGCAACGTAACGTTGATGAGGGTTCAGAAATTCGCGTGACTGGTCCTAATATATCTTTTGCGACGACGTTAAATGTGCATCACCGCGAGACGCGGGAGAAAACTGCCGAGCGCAATTTTGAAACGATGTTAACGCGATTCGCAACATACGTTCTTGCTACGGCGTCTCGAGGGTATCGAGAGTTGCCTTTTAGCTAACCCGCGCGAGAAAGAAAAAAGGAGGAGAGAAAAGTTGGCACTAAAAAGATCCACGATGGCTTCGGGAGCGAGCAGGACGACGACTTCACCCTTCCCTTTCTAAACCACGTTTTGATTCCCCTTCGAGTGGAACGAGACCGCGGTCGTAACTTTGTAAATAGCTTAATACGCGCTGAGTCTCTAATATTATTATTATTAATTATTATTATTATATTAATTATTATTTTACGAACGTTGTATCGAAATAGCGCTTAGAGTCAACCCGTATCGTAGCCGCCGATAGGCCTCACGAGTGTAGAGCTGCATTTCCGTTGTACGGTATCATAGGAGCGATATAATAATGTTATTTTATTATTATTAAAATTATTATGTATGTTATTATAATATTATTAATTACTACGATGTGTATCTCCCGATATCTACCATGCATGTACCGCTAGCTTTACACAACCGAGGCGCACGGTCGCGAGCCCGGTGAGGTGGTCTACGTCTTCTTTGTCTCTCTAAGAGAGATGAGACTATGCGAGCGCTGCGCGTTGAAACCTCATATGTGCTTTCCGCAAATCGCATTGTGTACCAGTGGGAAACAAATATTCCACTTCTAGAAATCCATAAATAAATTCGCCAACTTGTAAAACGCTAATTCGCCCTTCCTGTTCTTACCATCGACATCCTCACGAAGTCTCGATCATCCGCGCGACAGGGATCTGCGAATCCCACCTTCTCTTCAAGTTTTCGCCTGCGATAAGGCTTCCGATACGGACAAAAATTGTCGGATCGTCCGTTTTTTCACTTCATTTTTCGCGTTGCGTATCTCTCTTGTTTGAGGGCGCGCACGGCTGAGACGAGGAGGTCGTAAATGTGGAGCAATTATTCCACAATTTGCGGAGCTGACTGCGCGATTAATCCGCATCTCGTTTGAGCCGAGCTACGAGAGAGATGACTCAATCGTAGAAATTATCGAGATAATTCATTCCTGAGGATCGCTCGGAAACGGTCGTCACGCAAATCACAGCGAGTTAAGCGGCGGGCAGTAAGGCGAAGGAGAAGAAGACGGAGAAGAGTAGCAGTACTGATCAAGACAGATCTCCCGCAGGCGTGAAATAGCGGACCGTATGAAACCATCCTTCTTGTCACAATAAGTCAACCGGCGATTAACGGTACATCTTGATCCGATTCATTTGTAAGAAGAATATAAGGAGAAATGAGTACGATAAGAATTTGGCGAAACTTGCACCGCCTAACACTGAAATATTATCAAACTGCTCTCGCAGGAAGAGATTCGCCGCCATTCGAGAGCTGAAATATCGCGACTAAAGTTGAGATATTTTTTATATATATTGCTTGATATGTATTAGCGCACTACTTTTATTTCTATTTTTAATATATTCTATAAAATAAGATTTTGATGAAAAACTACTAAGATATTAAAGATTAATATGCAGACATTATATACGAATCTCGGAATTGCTGACTATTTTGTTTTGAAAATACAGCGGTATGAAATTTATAATTTATACACAGAGAGAAATATTGTAATATGTTAGTAAAGGAAATTTTACGCTGGACAGCAAAACTCCTTGTTAAGAATACTGATTGCTATTTGCTGAATTACTTTGCTAAATTTACAATTTATTCTGCTGTGAGAACAAATTAGTAAATGTAGGAAAACACTATTTTGTTCTAATAGCAAATTAACGTATCCTAAGGACAAATTCAATCAACAGAATATTTTCTTTCCTAGCAACAAAACTGTTTCTCCTTTAATTACGAATAATCCATTGATTTGGTTATATCAACTGAATTTTATCGTTGCTCTCGCAACGAAATGCAGTAGCAACGATGTGGTCTCGCTACATCAGCAAGATGATTTTTCTCCGTGTAGCAATATTCGAAATATATAAATACAACATTAATAAGAGAAATAAAAAACAATATTTTCTTATTTGTAACATTGTTTATATATTCACCCCAATTCCGTTTCAAGTCAACATTTATTATTTAGGTAGTGAAATAAATGCACAAGAACGTACTTTTGCTTGGTAAATACTAAATTTGTACAAGTGACTCCCTGAATGCGCCACTGAAAACACGATACTGAACCCTACAACCGCCTTAAAAGTCTCCTTATGCGCTTGATGACGCGACGTTTAAATCGTTTCCTTGTTTCAAATATCGACGACGGAATCGGTGTATCTTGTATCGCGTCTGTCACTTTCAATTTTGCCAGATTGGACGCGTCGTTGCTTCGACTTGGCCGGCGCGAAACACGACGCGACGCGTCGTTTCGCGCGTTTCGTCCTCCGCGAATTGTTCCCGCGATTCTCGAATTTTCCTTCGCCGTCGTGCACTCTCGCATTGAGCAACAAACTTAAAGACACCGAAGCTGTATTCCACGGGCGAATAAGATTGCACGCGGTGCATCCTGTTCACTTCATGCCGCGGCTGGAAGCTGCTCTCACCTCCTGGGGCAAAAGTCGTGAGCTGAATGTCACGGTGATTGAATACGACCCAGTGATGTGCTTCCCCAAGACGTACAGGCCGCGCCGTTGCTTTTCCGCGGGACCCTCTCGGTGTTCCGTAATTCGCGCGCGCGAT